ACCGCGCGCCCCCCCCCCCCCCCCCGTTTAGAAGTCTGGGAATAATTACAAAAGAACAAAAGGAAGTAAGGTTTAAAACAAGAAGAGTAATGAAAAATATGGACAGAAACATGAACTTCAGTAGGAACCTCAGGATACACAAAGCACACACTCTATTAGGTACAAAACAAAACAAAAAAAGGTCTTTAAAAGCAGAGGAAGAACAATTGCTTACCTTTCAAAAGGGGCTGGAAAGTTGGAATTTCCTGCAGTTTTATGACATCTGGATCATTGCTGACATTCCGGGAGGACTGCGTTCCTGGGGCTACCACCACGATGTCATCCATTTTTGCTCGCTGCTTGGCTGGTGACGGAGATGCTGGAAGGATACAGGAGAGGAAGGGAACGATCAGGTTAAGAAGCAGATTCCATCAGAACTCAACCCTCAGCAAGCGTTGCCACGTTCGACGCAGTACAGGTACGGTTTTTTTACGGCATAAACGCCTGGCCGAGACCCCCGAAGGGCCGCACGCTCCCCTCTCGCCCTCTCCCTCCCAGAACGTATTGCGTCCGAGCCAGAGTTTTTCAAAACCTGGTTCGCGGCCGGTTTTAAAACACCCGCACCGCTGACACCCTCCTCCTTCCTCCCTCCAGCGGGACGCGGGCCCTCGCCCGGCCTCCGGGCTACCCCCGCCCGCCCGGAGCGGGCCTCGGCCGCCAGCGGAAGGGCCGGGCCGCCGCCGGCTGCAGCCTGGCGAAGAAAAGAAAAAGCCGTTCCCTTCTCCACAGCAACCGCCTCCGCCCCTCGCCTCCACGCAACCCCGGAGCCCTCCCGCGGGCATCCCCGCCGACCCAAAGGCAGGGGGAACCCCGCTGCCGGGGGAGGAGGGCCCCTGCCCGCCAACGTTCCGCTCCGCTCCGCTCCCCCTCCCGCCCCGGCCACCGACCTGAGGCGCTGGGCTCGCCCGAGCGGCTCTCGGCCTCCGCGCTCTGCTCCGCTCCCATGGCGGCGGCGGCGGACGCCGGCCTTCCTCCCCCGCCTCCTGCAGCGCGGGGAGCGCCGGGGGGAGCAGCGCGGC